TTCACTGTTAAATAGGGCATTGTTTACACTATATATACCGCTATTCAAAACAGAAAATTTCGTACCTACGATTTTTTCAGAAAATGCCGCCTAAATGCCCACTGTGAGTCTCCAAGACAAAACCTGCCGAAACGGCGACGTTTTTTCGAAAAACCAAGATTTTTGATCTTTTGGCACCTTCTCAATATTTTAAGGTTTCCTCGGCGAGGAAATGTTTTCTGAGGCTGGATAGGTGATATTCGTGATCAGCTCGATGCACTGAACAAGAATATGTATCTCAAAGTCGAAAACAAATTTCACTCGCAGTTTGCTTTACGTACATCTTACCCAAAGAGGTAATAGTTTTCGCGTGCAAGACACAATCGAGGAGGCTCTATTTTATTTTTTGCTTAAAGTTTCTTTTACCTGTGGTACACCCGTGGTACCGTTCTTATGAAGAACGCAACGATCCAAATTCATTCTACCGGTGATAACTCAATCAATTTTGATTCAAAGTAATAATTTTTTTCACTGTTAGACTGCCCACTTTTCTTTACCGGGATATACTACGTAAAAGAGTATAAAACTTTCTTAGAAATGCATTATAAAATAATAAAAAGAAGTGAAAAAATATCTGTTCTTATTAAAAACATTCACTCTATGTAAAATTGCTTTTTTCGTTTTCTCGTTTCTTTTGTGTATTTGTACTATATGACTTTTTCATCTCGTACTGTTCATTCATTATTCGTCTGCCGTTTCTGTAGAAATATGCTATACTGTTGTAATTTTTCATCGTTGTCTTTTTTCGTCGTTGTCACATTTATCGTCATCTTTTCCTTTCCATATATATACATACGGATGCGTTCTTTCAGCAGTTGGTTAGCGTGTGGTTTGTTTTATCGGTTTGAACGATACACAAGCGAGTGTGATTTATGTGATATTAGATCAATAGTGTTTTCGATATATATATATCTTTAGATGGTCGAGAAGTATAGAGATAATATTGTTTTCAGAACTCCCATCCTCTAACAATTGGAAGTGTGACATATTAGAGTTTTCTCTTTTAGCGTATCTTTTTCTTGATGTCGCATGCAGATATCTGTATGTCAGACATTCGGATACATGCAGAAAGGGAAGGGTGATCTGCATGCGACATCAATCAAGAAAAAGATACGCTTAAAGAGAAAACTCTATTAACAATTCTAGATTGATACAAAGCACGATATCGGATGAATGGGCGTAATGTGCACGAATCAAATGCGAAAAAAACCGAGATCAATCATGTTTGGATAAAAAATGTGGAGTGTACAACTCATCGAAGCAGTAAGTTTATTTGTGTTAGAATTAGCATTTATATGTGTAAATTTTCCATTTTACGGTCTCTTCAAACAGGTGTGCAAGTCCACGAAATGACGTCGAATGCAAGCACTGCCCGAAGGTACCTCTTTGCAGGTATGTCGAATTGTACAGCAGTACTGTGTACGAATCCGATTGATGTCGTCAAAGTGCGCATGCAACTTCAGCACGAGTTACGGGGGACAATACAGTATCATGGTCTCTTACGAGGTGCGATAAAAATTGTGCAAAATGAAGGACTTTTAACGTTATGGTCTGGAGTGGAACCAGCACTTTGGAGAGAAGCATCCTATAGCACGATTCGCATGGGCGCTTACGAACCAATTAAAGAATTATTACACGCTGAAGGATATGTACCATTATGGAAGAAAATCATGGCAGGCGCGATATCCGGTGGAGTTGGCGCTTGCCTCACTTCTCCTACAGATCTCATAAAAATACGACTACAAGCGCAGCGTGGACAAAAGAACTACATTTATTCTTCCACAATTTCTGCATTTCGGCATATATATCGTGAGGAAGGTCTGCGCGGTTTATACCGTGGTGTTGGTCCAACAACTCAGCGAGCAATCATAGTAACCGCTTCGCAAATCGCCAGTTACGATGAAACCAAGCATCTCCTTCTTTCCTACACAAAAGAAGGTGTGCTCATCCACTTTCTTGCAGCCATGTCAGCAGGATTCGTTGCTGCCGTCACAACATCTCCCATAGACTTGATTAAATCCCGAATAATGAATGCGCCTTCTGGACGATATCGAAGCGTCATCGATTGCGGAAGACAAGTATTAAGAGCTGAAGGACTACGAGGATTTTATACGGGATTTGTTCCGGTATGGCTTAGAATCGGTCCTCACACAATGGTCACATTTCTTGTTTTTGAACAGCTGCGACGGTTGGCGGGCATGAAACCCATATAGTATAGAATTTTCATGTTTAATATAGAGACAACTTGTGAAATATAGATAACTTTTTCTATTATCATACACATTGATTGTATACGTCCGTTGGTGGTTAATTACAATTATATATTTGAAAGAGTGATTATTCTTTGTTATGGTTTTTCGTTTTCTTTATATCTATGATAAATTTAGATGTTGTATGGATCTTGGAATGATTTTACTTTTATAATAAAGTGTGATATGTTTGATCTGAAAATAACAGTGTAGTATGAAAATATCAATTCTTTTCTTTTTCATTTATATATTGAAAGTTCAATCGCACAAGTATTCTTGTACGGATCGACTTAAATATATTAAATCCATACTTTTTCTTAGTTCTTTTTTCTAACAAAACAGTATGTTCTGGGCTTGGGTACACAAAAAACAAAAATCCATATTCATTTGTATAATAGAACTACTGCAAATAACATTTTGTATTTTATTATTTATTCCTACTCTTATTTGGATATATAAGTTTGAAAGAGTAGTTATGTACTGTCGAAAGTAGAAAAAAATATTGCGAGTAATTCGAAACTTTGCAGTTACATAAACTATCGATATAGTGATTCTGAGCGGAGCCAGTTTCTGCTAAAATTTGAGCGAACAACGATTAGTACCGATACACTGTAACGGTAGGCTAGATACAATCGTGCAAGCAATACTCTAACAGTTCAATAACACATCTAAGTAGAAGGCTCCACTCTTACGCACGGTATGTGCAGTATATGATATTCACATCACTCTATAAATGAGTACGTATATACGAATGACATCAAAAACGGCTGGAGAATCGTTGATATTTAAGGATGATAATATGCTCGGAAAAAAGTTTTGATCGTAATTACTTCCACATACTCTCGTATACCCATTGAAAGATTGCATCACACAGACGAACGTCAAGACGCATTTATTTTCATCTCGATAAAAGTAAACACGTCTGGAAGCGCTTAGATTTCGACGCGCCTAGATGCAATTTCTTTTATTTCAATAAAAGAAATAAAAAACATTCGTGTAAATGCATCTTGCGATCGCTAACGAAAGAATTCTTTCGAGAAAGCGAACGCATCCAGGCACGTTTTAGAGCTTTTAGGCCAATATAAACAAATAGTTAGATGTAACTTTTTCCAAAAAAGAAAAGAAAACACGCCCCCAGACGCTCTTCTCATGATCGAAATGTTTACAACTTTCTGATGTTTGGATCGCCTACACTGTAAAATATAATTACGGTAAAAAGTGGCAAAAAGCAGAAAAATGCAGGATCCACAATATTTCGCATCGTGATGTTTATTCTAGAATATTCTACCATATTGTGAGCAGAATTTTAGCAGAATTCCCAGTATGTGACACAATATGCCACAATTTCGCGAAAAATTATAAAACTGTCGCAGCATTTTGCACGATTGTGAGACATAATGAGACTTCCACTAAAATTTTGCTCACAATATGGTACAATATCTCAGAATAAACATCACGATGCGGAAAATTGTGGATTCTGCATTTTCCCGCTTTTTGCCACTTTTTACCATAATTATTTTTTACAGTGATAGATGCGTCTACTTTTGAAAAAGTTCATCCATTGTTTTACATGCGTCCCAGTTTTCACCCAAGATTTTTCTCTGAGCGAGATGCAATTCTCACTTAAACGCATTTGAACTTATTGAATAAACCCTGAGGTGCATACAAACATAAATATAACCATCTTTCGTTTGTCGAACTATATAAACGTTATCGCTCATAATGGGGGAAAAGGGATGCATTTGAAACGGTCGTCTGTGTAATAAAACTTTCCAGTGTATAAATTCTCAAATACTTCGCGTTACATTATTTTCAATACAATAAGGTTGTCTAAACTTCAGTGAGGATAGCTGTGAATGACAGCCCAAATTGAGGAATACATTTTTGAATTGTCAGTAACAGTCATTATATTCCACTATAATCAATTCATATCCCAAATATTTCATTCTCGCATAATTTTTATCTAATGATAAAATAAATGGTTGATGTAAGGAACAAAAAAGTCAGCTTCAGATAGCTATAATTAACACTTTCATCGTATTTCATCCGAATTAAATTGTGCTTGTTGCTGACGGAGACACAACTGCAAACGTTTGAACCATTCGACATAAAATCCAGCTGAATCAATATTCGCACGTCTTGCAGAAAGAGAAAATCTGCACAAGTTCTTTAAAGATCCGCACTGTAAAATATTGAGAAATCTTCAAATATATTATAGACATAACATTCAACTGAAGAGCTTCGGTATTGTGTGAACGGTACCGTAAGAGCTGTGAATTTTGCAGTACCGTTGATATATACTCCAGTAGGTACGTTTTATTGGTACAACTCGGTCTTTAGTTGACAATTTAAGAGCAAGAGACCAGAGAACGGGACAGTGGTCGCTGCCAATAGAAGGAAGTAAAGAAAATTTTGAAGATAACATTGAGCTAGTCCCAATAATAAGGTTAATAGTTGCAGTAGAACAAGTAGAAGTGGTTACAAATTTGTTTCCAATCTTCAAGGACGCGTGAGAAGAGAGACAACTGCTTAGGACACTTCCCTTGTAGTTGTTTACAGATTTAGACCAAGAAGAATGTTTAGCATTTAAATCTCCAGCAAAGATAGTTTCAGGATTGCGCTGAAGAATTTGATCAAAGAGAAAAATTGGTAAAGGTTCAGTGGGAGAATAACAAGTAGTATGGGGGGGCAGGCGGTTAGTAGATATTATAACCTTTCCCAAATTCATTTCTTGTCAGAAAATGACATGCTTTGCTATTTACTGATTCCATATTTATATAATTGTCGTTTGTACACTGTTTAATTTGATTTTGTACACTACTTCATTCGATTTTGTACACTGTACTTAATGATTCTGATTGATTTGATTTCATGAAGAATAAAATATATACTCATAAGTTTCGTTTGTTTTTTCATTCTATATTCTTTTTTCGTTCTTGATTACTAATTAAATTTATTATCTCTTTTGGGATTACAAGAATTTCACATTTTTCGTTTTATTATCTCTTTTGGCCTCTAGCCATTCATTTCCATTATAGAATAGAACTCTACTGTTAAAGAAACAAAAGATATATATCTCGTTTTTTTTGTTTGATGTAAACATTTTTATTTGATACACCGGATTGTTTTGCTCAATGACAAAAAGAAAATACTTAATTCTCAGCGTTAGTTCAAACACATTTTAAGCATTGACCGAATAATTAGAATTCAATTTTTTTTGAGTATCAGATCAGTATTAGATCACGTTCATCACAGTTTCCTTTTTATTATGAAAATTTGTTCGTATTCATAGAAAATTTAGTGCACGTACGACGTAGTGTGTTTTTTCTTCTTCTTATTGATGCAAATCATCGTAGATATGCAAATAGTGATCAATTGTGAACGGATATGGTTGTATGACCCTGAATCCAATTAATACGATTTATTTATTTAGAGGAGGAAAAAAAACCTCTTCTTCTTATTTTTGTTAAATGTATTATCTCTCGTGTGTATTTAGACTATACTTAAAAAAAATTCTTTGGGGAACGATATGAGACTAAATTGAATGATAGTTAATGCATACTACTATAAATACGTTTGATCCTCTTAAATTTATAATCTTTACTAAAAGCAAAAACTTGTTTATTATTCTTGTTTTATTTATTACAATATTTAGTTTATTGTTCAAGAAAAGTAGGATTATTGTATCCATGTTTGAAAAGAAAAATCTCTTTGTAGTTAGAATAAATCTGTCTTTAGTCTAGATGTAAGTGGATGCTGGAACTAAATTTCTCTTGCTTGTTTAGACTGCGTTTTAGAATTTGTAAAAGGCATCATTTTTTTGTTTGTGAAAAAATTTCAACTAATAACTGTAATTGAGAGTGAAGAATAGAATGGTAAAGTTTATATATACAATGGTCAACATCAAAGTAAGGAGGTATTGGTATACGATAGTGGAACATTCGTACGAGAAAATCGCCTTCGTAAATCATACATAGTGCCGGCTACTGATCTGAATCATTCTCTTTAAAAAAAACTCCAAACTAAAACTTTTTGATTGACACTTTCAATTGATAAATAATTTTATTTGCTCTGTATCTCTTGTAAGTGTTTTTACAGACAGAGAAATATTTTCTAATTCAATTTATTTTATACTGACATAACATAATGTTTTATAAATCAAAAAACATATGTTGTATAATTACAGTTTGATCGTTTACTTTATTAACTGTGTATAGAGAGTCAAGTGAACATTTCTGGTAATCATCATTCACTTTTTCTTATTAGACTCTACTTGATTTCTTTTAAGAAAGGCCATTACAAATTGATTTGTTAAACAATTTACTCTTCCTATTTTAATTTTGTTTGTAACGTTTCGATCACAATGGGGTCTTCATCAGACAATGTATACACTTAGAAACACACTGATAATATATAGACTTTATATTCAAAATACTGTTCTCACTGGTTCTTTATTTTTCTTGTTCTTCATATACCGTGTGATTATGGCACAGTGTACAATGGAGAAACAAAAATCAGATTTGAAAAGAGAATGAAAATATATGAGAAAATTATTGAAAAAGATGAAATTGAATCCAACTCCAAAATGGTACAATATCATTGCGAAAAAAGATGGTAATGTCAGTTTGATTCATCGAAAGCATTGATAATTGACAATGAAATTTTAATCGAAGGAAACGAAGGATGAAAGAAGCGATTTACTCAACGATTAATCAATCGATAAATTGACGTGATGATCTAGGAAAAACTGTGACTACTAGTACTATATTCAGTAACAACATCAATATAAAGCGAAATTCATATTCAACAATAAAATTTCGAAAGAACAGTGGGAGTCGTGGAACAAGACGATAATAGTGAAACGTAGGAGAAAAGATGTTCAGTTATTCATCCAGTATCATCGTCTTGTTCGTCACACTGTCGTTCGTCACGAAAGAACAGAAAAGATGAAGAACCAGTGAGAATAGTATTTTTAATATGTATATATAATCAGTGTATTTCTCATTGTATATTCTAAAATAAGTTCATATACAACATGTCACCTCTTCAGCTAGGAAACCAGAAAAATCGTTATGAATCTTTCATTCTATTACGGTCATAATGTTATTACTGACGCTCCATTACCTCACTGAATAGCTAACGCTATATGCATACATAATATTATTTTAAGAATATTTTAAATATTATTACGGCTGAAATTGGTGTTTAGATGTTAAGTATTTTAATGTTGTCTGATAACGATCACATCATGATCAAAATGTTAGAAATAAAATTAAAGTAGGAAGAATAAATTGTTTAACAAATCAATTAGACTCTACAGGCAATTTTATTTTTTTGTTTTTTTTTATCTCTATAAAATATTGCTATAGTTGAGTATCGGAAATAAAATATTGTGTAGGAACCGGAAATGAAAAAGAAGAAATATGATTAGGTTAATTACACTATCGTCATTCTGTATATGTGTGTATGGTGATTTTCTCATTGTAACATCAACAACATATGTGGCTAACAGTAACTTTGAAAATTTTTTCAATCTATACTGAAGTAGAAGGAGTTGATGAGTATAGTGATAGAGAGAGTTGAAGTCAATTATGTAGAGTACATGTTTCATCAAACCGAAAAATTTTAAATACTAACTTAAGTAAAATAAAACGTATTTTGTTTGACAATCTTAAATTTGTTCTGGATGGTTACGTTTTTGATTTGTACTTGGTAAAAAAATTGTTTTCTTCGTACATTGACATTAATAGTAGTATCAAGGTTTTTTGAAATGCGCTCTACTGTTTAACATTCTTTCAGAATTAAATATCTCGTTTAATACACAAGTTCTACTCAATTTCTGATAGAACTGGATGAGAATCTGATAATTCATAGGGACAATTTTAGAGTGGTTGTATTTCTATTCTTCTTACAAACTGACAAATTCCGGTGCAATTCTGCTACACTTCTATGGGTGAATAGAACTACTGTCGAGTACAAGTAGTGATGGACACTATAGAATGAAAGTAAGAGGCGGGAAGATGAAATCGAATGAATTTAGAGAATTTTCATGGAATAGTGAATCTTGATACCATTCGTCGTTAACTAAATGAATCAACATTCTCTAGGTAACTCGTATAAAGGCCTTCTGTTGTCTCCGCACCCAATCTCAGCTTTTAAGAAAACTTTTTTTACATCTGTCGATCATCTGTTCATTGTAATCTACGTTATTCGTTACCTACATGTCTCATTTTTAACGATATTTTACTCAAGGTTTATGAAACAATATATATTATGTCTTGAAAAGTCAAACACTGTTAATTTAAAAAAAACCTCATTTTCTCATCAACAAAACAATATAATCTAAAATCAATAATCATTGTGTATTTTATATTGGTATAATACTTAGGATCAAGTGAAAAGAATTATTCTATCTTCTTTTTATAAAGATCTGATGTATTTTCGAAATGTCTTACGGCATTTGAATAGTTCTACTCATTTTATAATCAACTTTCTAATCGTGTTAAGTTTGAATTATCTCCAACAAAGTTTCCAATAATGCGTCTTAAAATGGAAAATCCGAATAAAACAGCGATAAGTGAAACGATAAAACGAAATTCTTATTTAATCTTATGAAGTTTTGAAGTTTGATTAGTTTCAAAAATTTTATTATACAGAAATCGTTCAAAACAAAAACAAAAATGATATTTTTCTCGATGAACTCTATTTAACTCTACGTCACGAAAAAAGAAAATTTTACACCTTATTTTCAGTGTTAAAATTTTGTTTTTACTCAATCTACAATAAAAGAAATTCTCAAAAATAACCGTTCAAAATTGTTGAATGTGTACCAGTTCTTAATCAAGAAAATTGACAGTCAAATAACAGGAAGAGAAATATCATTAATCTTTTCTGACTTTTTTTTATTGTCTCTTGGTATAGGAAATATCCGTTTATGAACAGTGTGACACACAATGGAGACTTGAAACATCACAACAGTTAATTTTTATACAATATATATCGAAAAACAGTTTCCTCTATTCTATTTCAGTTTGATGACAATTATTATTCAAAAGTGATACTTGATATATAGTGCTTGACATGTTCATTACAATATAAAAAAAACGTTCTCTTTGCTCTTTTCATGTATTTTTTTTTTTTGAAAAATGAGAGCAAGAAAGAGAGAACAAGAGTGATGTACTGAATTATTGATTGGATGACAATATAAAGAACTAAAGCAAAAAAACAAAAATTTAAACTTTTTTTTTCCTACATTCTAACGTGTATGTGCGTGATGTGATACAGTTTTTCTTATACTGACTAGTGTTAAGCTTTTTTTTCTTTCTTTTTTTTTTTTTGAGTCAGATTAAGGAAAGGATATCGTTGTACTAATACAAGACATGAAAAGAAACAAAACGTTTTCTATTACTCATCGTAGACACGTACTATGTGTGTGTGTGTGTGTCAATTCATCTTTAAGTAAAAGAAAAAAGCAACTATTTTTGAGCCTTAAGCTATCTAACTAATATGAGAGTGAAAATGAACATAATATTAAATTAAGAAAAATAAACAATGAATGAACAAAATGACTGACTACAGGATACTTTCTTGTTAAAGAAAAATGTTTTTATTATAATAAGTTACATAATAAAACATTGATTAATTATTCATTTGATACTAGAAAAGAAGGATTTAATTTTGCATAAATTCATTTATAAAGTTTAATATTTTCATCTATTATGGCATGATATATCACTATACACACTCATTTTGAGATGAAGGGCACTCAATAATTTGATTTTTGAATTAGAAAATAAAACACAAGGATAAACTATTGTTGTTAGAACAATCAAACACAAATGTCAACTTTTTCATTATATACACATCGTTTTTGATGTCAAAAAAAAAAGAGAATATATAACTATTGACATTCAACTATGTTCTTTAAGATCTAAAATTCTTTCGAAAATTTTTTAATACAATGATCTAGAGTTTTATTGACATTCAACTATTCTAGGCGTGCAGTCTGTTTAGAAAATTAAATATATTACTTTAATTCCCATATGATATGTAAACAGTTAAAACAATTATTCATTCAACATTGTCACTTAAAACGTATTTGTAAAAAAAAACAAATATTCGACTAGAGAAATGAAAATTGAAAAAGAAAGAATTAATATCGACTGAGTAATTTCTATTGGATTCTCATCATACTCTCAGTGATATTTTTGACAAACTTTTAGATTTATCGCAAAAAGAAAGTTCTTGATATTCTGATCAAGAGCACGTCTTTGGAAAAGCTTGCATATAATGCCAAAGTGCACAAAAAATGAGGTGGACCTTATTGATGTTTGATGAACGAACAAGATCCAGTGACAGATGATTATTCACGATGACCAATGAACGATGGACATTTTCTACCAAATTCAGTGAAATGTGTGAGAGTACTCAAACTGTATTCACATTGAACAGTCTATAACGAAGAGAATAAACACTATCTTTTGACATGATAACAAAAGTAACATTTAATAAGAGTTCGTGGATTAAAAGTCGATCACATTGATAAAATTGCTCATTTTCGTCGATTTCGAGCCATCATTCTCTGTCAAATTTTTGAATTTGGAGAAAAAAAATTTGTTTTTTGATAAAACTGTCATAGAAAACTCACAAATTTATGATCTTACATGAGATGCTTGGTGTATACCATAACTTCAACTTTTACTGGAGAAATTCATTTACTGAAAGTGAGAAAATTCTTGAAAAACTTCTCAAAATATCAATTACAAGCCGTCAGAAAAATAGAGTTTAATTCTCCATTGTTTTACTTGTCATAGCGAACAATTTTCTTTATTCAGAAATATGTCAGCAGACACTGACTCGAAATCGATGAACTTGATCAATTTTATCAATATGATCGACTTTTAATCGATGAACTCTTATTACCTGTTACTTTTGTTATCCTGTCAAAAAACGATTGTATTTTCTCTTCGTTGGAGACTGTTCAGTGTGGATACAGTTTGAGTACAACCACACATTTCACAGGATAGGACATTCGATAGAAATATCTGTATATATAGGGTGGCCAAAAAAAGACTTATCACCTCTGTATTTATTGACTTTCTTGTGTACAAATATGATTGAACTTTTTAGCGGTCAGCTTAGTCGAGTAGAATAAATATTTCTGGACAAAATGAGACGTCTCCGAGCTTTTCTCATGAAACAACATTCAATTTACGGAAGGCTCTAAGAGCGTATCTTTCTTATTTTCTCGTTAATTGTCATGATTTTGGTGGTATGAGACCTTCTGTAAATTGAATGCTGTTTCATAAGAAAAGCTCGTACAGAGCTCAGAGACATCTCATTTTGTCCAAAAATCTTTGCTCTACTCGACTAAACTGATGCTAAAAAGTTCACTCATATTTGTGCACAAGAAAGTCAATAAATACAACGGGACTAAGTTTTTTTTTGGGATCATCTTGTACTTATCGAGGAAAACATCTCTCAATGATAGACTCTTCATCAGATAATATCTAAGAATTTATAACAACAATAAAAAAGTGTCTACTGGAATCCAATGGAACGATCCATTCATTTTAAAAACAAAATGAAAATCTCCTTCAACAACTTTTTTTGTCCATCCACATTCTCAAAGCTAATTTAGTCCATACTGTAGAGTAGCACATGAATAAACTGAAAGAACTTTCTATTATTATTCCACTTATTTAAAAATTATATCGTATGTTAAATAAATACAAACCTTCATATCAATAAAACTACACATCGTATAAAATATTATAATTGCATAAAAGTAAATAGAAAAAAAAATCTTTTTTTTAACAAATAAATATATATTTTTTTTCTTCTATTTTTTTTTTTTTTTAATTTTAAACAATTCTTAATGGAAAACGTGATGTTAAATCAATTGTTGTATCATTATTATCATGAGTTATTATTGAATAATCATTTAACAATGGTTCCATATCACCTTTAGAAATATTTTTAATTAATGAACATTTTAAATGTAGACAATTATTCTCTTTTTCTATTGTATCAAAATAGTATTCATCATTTTGTCTTTGTTTATAAATTGAAAATGCTAATAATAAAATAGTTAATAATATATAAATAGATAATATAATAAATATATAAATAAATGGTCCAAATGAAATTGATGATGTTAATGATGAATCGATATAATTATCATATAATGAAGATAAATTTGTATTATTTATTATTAAAATATCATCATTTGGATAATAAATATTTGTAAAATTTGATGATATTAATGATTGTTGTTGATCATCAATATAAATTGATTTATCATCATCAATAATATCATCATAGGGTAATGGAAAACTATCCGCATAGTACGATATATCACCATGAATAACTGACGTTGTTTTATTAAATAAACTTGAAAGAATACGATAGGAAATTGATGAAGTTGATGGAGGATAATTTGTAGAATTTATTAATAATAATAAATTTTTAATACTCATAGTTTTACTAAAATAGGAAGAGTAAAAATATTTTTTATCTAAGAATTTAAAGAATTAAAATGATGTGAGAGAAGAAATTTGTTCATGTATTTCATTTCAATAGCATTCAACAATTTTCTGTTGATCTTCTCTAAAAAAAATATTAACAAAAAAAAAATTGTTCACTTTTTCTTTTTTCTTTTTTTTATTGTTGTAAATGTAGGCAGAGAATCATTTTATTATTATTATTTTTTTTTTTTTAAAGAGTCTATTTGTTTATAACTACAAAAATTTTTCAAAGTCTTAACGTTTTTCTTTTTTCCTCTTCTAAACATTTTTGTTTATGGAAAAATTATGCCACTCGACGTATTATGCTTAGTTTTACATGGATTTTATTTGACAAGTAATGTGAATGAATTATGAAGGTGACGTGTGAAATGAAACGATCTATGATAGTTATTTACCTCCAACTTTTTTTTTTTTTTTTTATTACTCTATTTACTTTTAAAGCGTCGAGGTTCTTTTTTTTTTTTTTTTTTGTTTTGTATGAGAAGGAAGTTCTTTAAAAAAACTTCACTTCAATGTTGTACAACTTCTATTTTTTTGAGTTGTTAAGAAATGTAAAAAGAACAGTCAACTCATAATCCATACGAACGTGAAGAAAATAGAAAGTTCATTGAGAGTTGTGGAAAAGTGTTTTTTCGTATTCAGTACACCGGATAATCCTGACGATTTTCTATTTTTGGCCAAAATTTTAGAAAAATTTTTGAAATAAAATCGCGAAAAGAATTTTCTACAGGAAAATAACATTAGTTTTAAAAATTTTCTTAAAATTTTGGCCAAAAATAGAAAATCGTCTGGTTATCGAGTGTACTGGATACGATAAAACACTTTTCCACAACTCTCAATGAACTGTAGTTTTCTGTGGGTGATATACTGCTGAAAAGTGTTCACTTTAATAACTCTAGGAAACGATGTCGAAGTCAGTACTTCTTTTCTCTAATAAATTTGATAACTATCCAGTAACTTTTCTTTGTCTCTCTCTCTCTCTCTCTGTTAGTCATTGCCGATCGCATATTGAGAATTATTTGCTTACTTGCTTACTGAACTTTAATTTGTTTAATTATGTGTAATATTGGTTATAGCTGGTTTATTTATTCTATGAAATTAATTTTTTGTTTCAAGTATCGAATAATTAATTACTAGAGCAAAAAATTTCTTGTCAATCACCATCATATTATATATTCTTATAGTAACCAAAAGGTTACTGTTAGATCTTATTCTATCTCGTTTATATTCGATTGTAAGAAGTTGTGATAATAATAATAATAATAATCCTGGAAAGAACGAAGAATTTTTCGATCATAGACAGTGTGTGCCATTTAAATCGGCCTCAATGACATTCACACAATCTACTATTAGAGAAAAGAAAAACTGTTTCGTTTACTTTCTTTCATTCTCTCTCTCTCTCTCTCTCAATAAATTGTCTTTTTCTTTAAGTTCTACCATATGAAGCAAAAATAGAGAAAGAAACCAAGTGTTCACATGTCATACGAATGTGGCAATGTAATCAAAGTAAGAGAAATTTTCAAGATGCTAATCTCTTATGTTGCAGAACAACCCTCTGAGACCGCACGTCAAGCATCAGAAATAAGATTTAAGAAGTACAATATTTATATACACAGAAGAGAGCAAAATGAACAACAACCATGTCATGAGATCTAAAATCGTGTCTATACAAAATAGATATCCACAGCGAGAGGGAGCACATGAATAACATAGATCAAGTGTTCTTTTTCTTTATTTCCATTCATCGTTAAATTTAATTTTATTGTTCATATTAACTGTTTGATTGAGGCATTTAGTTCTAAAGTGTTTTCTTGAGTAAAATGTTTCAATCAAAACTTAACTAAAACAGGGAGTTACTTATCTCGATAAGCAATTTCAGCATTTAGTTCAAAAATGTAAAAAAAATTCATCTATTAATTTAAGAATTGATATTTAATGCTAACTAATTGATTTTCTAACCGATAAATGATAATTTCTACACGAAAACTAAATAAAAGAAAATTTATTGTACACCGTTCGAAAGAGCGTTTCAAACACTCTTAGATGTAATAATTAGTCATTCTTCAAACTGATGGGAAAAAATAAGATAAACGAAACGACAGTGACTTTATCTGAAAAAGAAATGTTTGAATCACGAATCATACCTCTTTCAGAACTTCTAGGAAAATGCCTGTAACTTTTTGATACAGAGCAGAGCTCCGTATGGACTCAAATTTTTGAGTCCAGTCCAGTCCATGGACTAAAAAAGTCTAGTCCAGTCCAGTCCGAGTCCATGAAATCCAAAAAATCGGAGTCCAGTCCATACGGAGCTCTGATACAGAGTCATACAGAGTTGTGCGAGGTCTTATTTTGATCAGAAACGTTTGCTCTACAAATCTATGTGTTTAGAAAAATTTTAATTGCACTAGTATCCAGGAAAAAGCTATTATTTGAAGATTCGGTTTTTCGAGGCTCCTAGAAAACTCGCTCAAAATCCGGGAAAAACCACTTTTGTAACCAAAAGTGATACAGATTCTGAAAGGAGACACTGCAGGCTAGCTTCCCATGTGCTTATCTCAAAACCGATATTTTGACCGAAAATCACCATTTCTGAGGAGGGAGGGCCGTTAAAACAACGGAGCTTTCATCAGTTTGACCGCAGTTTTGTCGGTTTTAGTGTGTCCATGTTATTCTTGTATTCACCTTGTTACATTCGCTCTACAACGCTGTGAATGGAAAATGTGTCCATAGTTGGACGAGAACAGTCGCGAGTATTACAAAATTTTGTTCTTCTAAACGGTGTCTCGTACGCACTATTTGATCGGAGTTTTCTGGATGTTAATGCGAATGCAAGATATCGTCCTTTAAGATATATCATCGTCATTATATTCCTTCTTTTCTTCACATTCTTCGTTGTGGCCACGATCGATCCGTTTGCTTTTTATAAGCTTTTTATAAAGAGGACCATTGTCATATGTCATATAACATTGCGAAACTGGTCCAGTTACTCATACTACTAGCTGCCAATCTGCGTTATCCTATGGTTGTTGCGCAAGAAGTTATGGATCGATCACCCAAAATATTGCCAGGATGAATGACCACCCAATACTTTAACAGAACAGCTCTCCTGACTAGAGATGGGCATCGGGACCAAAAAAATTTTCTGGTCCCGGTAAAAGATTTGATGGCCGTTCCATCACCTTCACGGTTAAAATATCATTTGGCCGTGCATTTTGTAGAGAAATGTTTCCTCTTTCAGATTATATATTCTAAAATATACCACAGACCTTCGTTACGAATTAATTTGACAAATACAATGACCGGGACCAGATTGGTCCCGGTCGGTCCCGATGATCTTGGTCCCGGTCATGTATTTG